GCCAAGACTGGAGAGCAATGCAAGGAAAACAATAAGAAAGCATAAAGAAACAACTTTAAGGGAGAAAAAACTAAAAGGAAAGCGTAGAGAATGGAAAGTAACTTTCAGATCAAATATGGTGACAATAGTGAAACTATTACAGCACATCAAACTCAAGAACGAGCATATTAAAGGGTTGAAGAAAACCCCATTCTGGTTATTGTTTAAGGCAATATTGAAGAACAAGTTGAATTATAAACAATGTAGAAAATATGATGATATTGTACTCAAAATAATTCAATCATACCGGCCAGGCAGCAGTGGTTTTTTCCAGTTAGGACCATAAACTATAAAGCTAATAACAGAAGACATCAAGTCCATCTTCGATATATCTTGTGGAGATGAGCCAATGCATCTTGGTTATGGAAATAAAAGTATATTCTCATTTCTGAGAAGAAGATCCATACAAATTGAAAGGCTATCGAGCACAACCATCATGGACTTGTTGCAAAAAGTATTGAAAGGCAACAAAAAAGAAGACACCGAAGATGTAATTAGGATGTTGTGTATGTATACTTGTTTGAAGTTTTTTTTCTCTACATCAGGAACAACAATTGGATGGGTATTTCTTAATTACATAAAGGACATAAACTCAATGAGAAAATACAATTGGGTAGAAGTAATAAGGAACACACTGATGTCTTCAATTGAAAAATACCACAAAACTTCAACAAAAGGCACAGGATGTGTTATGGTTCTCTTAGTAAGTACATCTTTACTATTTTCTATTAGTTTGTGATTAATAACATAAAGTATTATTTCTTATTCAAATGACAAAAATTCTTTATATTTGTTTGTAGTATTGGTTGTGTGAGCATACACTGATCATCCACCCCGAAGTTAGCGAAGCATGCCCAAGGATGATCAAGTGGAATCTTATCAAATTACATAAACGTATGAAAGTCATATCACTACATGACCTAACAACAAGACAGGTCACATCCTCATCTCATTTGAATTTCAATTCAAGTTGGGAAAATTCCCTATTTCTATACACTGAATTATTATTGAGAAACTTTTTAGTTTCCTAAACTACAATTATTTCAAAAACTAATATCTATTGTATGTTGACATATAGGTAACTAGTGCTCAATTGAGTGAGGACAGTGATGAAGAACTTAATGACACTAAAGAAGAAGAAGAAAAACAAAAAAAGATGATGAAGATGCTGAAGAAGAAGAAAAAGAAGAAGAAGAAGAAGAAGAAGAAGATGGTCAAGATGGTGAAGAACGTCACCAAGAACCAAAGGCAACAAATAAGAAATGGCAAAATTCTAAAAGCACAGAAACTGCCAGCTACATGAGAGATGAATGGGATGTTAATCAACAAGACACAAATGAAGACTTTGATGGCTTGTGCAACATTATGATCAATGATGCACCTGAGGGAGAAGAACACATTCATCAACAAGCACTTGAGAGACTTCAAACTGAGAACAACAATTTGCAACTTGACAACACAGTGAAGACCGTCTACATAAATAAACTTGAAGAGGATAACATGCTACTCACTGCACATATACAACAATTGAAAGATGAAAATTCTCGATTGCATAACCAATTGGTTAAAAAAGAGGTCCATGAGGTAATTGAAGAAGTTTGTGGAGGAAAGAATTCTAGGACAAATGCAACGAATATAGGCCATACTATAAAAGATGAAAATTCTCAAGTGCTGCAGAAAGAGGTTCATGAAAATTCTAAAGTGGTGGACGAAGAGCTCCATCAGAAAGAGGTCCATGAGATAACGCAACGAGCTTTTGCAACAAAAGATTGTGAGACAAATACAAATGCAAAAGATTGTCAAAATTCTCAGTTGCAGAATCAGTTAGTGAAGAAAGAGGTCCTTGACTTAACCCAACAAGTTTGTGCAACAAAAGTCGATGATTTGACAAAATCAAGACAAACAAATCTGCAGAATTCCATGATTAAAAACATCAAAGATAAAGCAAGGAAAACTACTAAGATATTAGATTATAAGTATAGAGGCAAGAAATTTAAAGTTGAGAAAGAGAAGGAACACAAAGATGAGACAATTTCTAAAAAGTATGTTATGGCTCAATTGCTACCTTTTGAAGATAAGTATAAACTACAAATTCTTTGGAAACAAAAGCAAACAGAATCAAGGTATAATCTTACATAAATCTTGTAATTTTTCATGTAGTATAAACTATGAAATGAAACTGAGAAATAGCATTGTTTTCTAAAAATATTCTGAATTAATTATGAACACATTTTTTCTTGTTTTGTAGTGCTTGTATATGGTTTGTTGCAAGATGTGACAATTGTGTCTTTATTAATGATATCAAGAGCTTGGTAAAAGGGAACGACATATCCAGCTGTGTACATATAAAATTTGTAATATTTTAACACTGGAAAATTTCTCATTGATTTATTAACATCACTTTTGTGTTCCAATTTGACAGACAATTGATGCATATGCTGAGATTCTTGAAAGAGAACCACAAGCACAAAATTCCGGTGATGGAGCAGAGCACAATGGCAAGTCTTTCGTACTATCAAGTCTATGTTGGGTAAGGAATAAATGTGCATGCGTTAATTCTATACTTTATCTTTCTTTTGATTTTGGTTTCAAAGTTCATTTTTTCTGTTTGTTATCATTCCTGTGAATCTTTTCAAAATTTGAGTTTGGTATCATTGCTGGGAATGTACTTAGATTTCGAAACAATTTGAGTGACAAACCATACTTAATCATATTTTGCTGCTTTTGATCGAGATTTGAATATTAAATTTTGTACCATTACTGTGAATATTCTCATATTTTTTGTAAAAAAATAGCCAATGTTGAAGAAGAAAACTTCAGAAAAAAAGGAAAAAGATTTTCAAAAATACTTTGCAAGAATCCCTCACATGTAGATACATCCATATCCCCATCCTCAGTTCCAATCATTGGACATTACTTGTTATCGACAAACACTTGGGGACTTGGAAACATTTCAACTCTTTGAGACCAAGAAAAGGAAAGGACAAGCACTACAACGTTGCATATCAACTGGTAAGAACAATTTCAGATTACCATTACAATAATCAAATGTGAATCATTACATACTCTATATTGATGTTTTTTACAACAAACAATCATCAATGAATACATGAAGGATACACCTTGTCAAGTAGAAAAAGTATAGAATTCTGATGTGAAGATTGAATCAGTTAAAGACAGCCCTCAACAAGAAGCAATGACGTATGTTATGTTTATTGTAACTAACAAATTTTAATATATTTTTCGAAATTTTTTTTTTCCCTAACTGTGTGCATAATGATTTCTGTAGGGCTGATTGTGAAATTATTGTTTGTTACATCATAAGACAATACATAAGGCATCAACCAATTTCAAACACATTACCACCAGGCACATGCACAACACTGAGAGTAGACATGGTACATGAGTTCCTCAGTGATCCACAAAGATCAATTAGAGTCAAGTACCAAGATTGCAACATTCGATGAATCTTTTTGATGTGTAACTCAGTCAACTCTTTTTTGTCACATTCCAATACAATGACTAATGTTTTTGTTGATAGTTGCAAGCATATTGCCTCACAAACATATTACAATTTTGTTGATGTGTAATGGAATATTTTGTCAAACTTTCAAAGATATATGCACCAGGGCTTCTCTTGATGTTTTTGTCCATATTTTCAGTTTCCATTATCCTCTTCCTCACATTACTATATGGGAAAAGTGAAAATAGTGTTACATGTAAAAATAGTGGACACAATACTTTACTGTATCACAATCAGTGCTTTGTTGATGTTTTTGTTTATATTTTCAATTTTTATGCAATTTTTTTTGCCTCACAATATTATCACGTTCACTTATTTTGAAGTTGAAAACTTAAAATTGAGAATATTTTCAGTTTTATACAGTGTTCACTCAATTTTCAAAACAACAATATTATCAATACAAATTTATTTGCTGCCTCACAATATTATCACAATTTGAAAAACTAAAATTTGAAACAAATAATATTTTCACTTTCAGTCCACTGTTACTTTATTTAAAGCATAAAGTATTGATCACATCTATTTAGAATATTAATTCACATTCATTCAATTGATCACATTTATAACTGGCTCCAATTCATAACAAGAGCCTCACACTATTATCACAAAATTAGCTATTTTCAACTAAAAACTTAAATTAAGAATATGTTCACTTTTTATACAGTATTCACATAATCTTCAAAACAAACATTCAACAATCAAGTTTATTTCTAAAAGCCAACCAAACAAATAATTCATATTAAAAACAAACACAAAGCCAACCAAACAATATTATCACAAACAATTTCCAAACTAAAATTCAAAACTGAGAATATTTTCTCTTTCAATTCAATGTCACTTTATTGAAAACATAGAAGATTATTATTCAGCTCTCAACAGTATAAATTGCTACTTCAAGAAATTTATGAATATGAAATTTTTACAATCACAAACCACCTACAAAAAATCACAAAGCCTCCTTACACGATTTCTTATTGTGATTGCCAACCTTCCCACATCTACCACAAGTAATTTGCCTTACTTTCTCACCATTGGAACGAATCCTCTTCTTATTTGGCCTTCATGGTTGCTTCCTAAACAAAGGAAGAAGAACAACATCACTATCACCATCAACATTACAATCTGATTTCCAAATTGAAGGAACATGATATATTGGAAAAGAATAGGACTCTTGATAATTTTGAACATAGAAGTATTGATCAACAAATAAACTCAAATCATGTACACTCTTTTGTATAGCACCAACTCCATGTGCACATGGAAACCCTTTCAACTGCCACTCGCCACAAGAACATATTCATCTACTAATGTCAACTGAAATAGATAGATGTGAATGTACCTCATAGACATTATTCCCAGATGAACTAACAATCCATGGCCTCAAAGTATTAAAAGCATCATGCAACTTAGACTCCATTTTGGGGCATATCACACCATTCTATTTATTAACAAGCTCCCTTTTTTTAGCAATTTTCCTCATCAACTTAATTCTTACACTATCAATCAACTTTGTAATAGGCAAATGGCATTCCTTTCGTACCCATGAATTGAAAGATTCAGCTACATTCGACCGTATCTCTCCAAAGCGTTGCCCTTGAAAATATGCATTACTCCAATGATCATATGGTATGTCATCTAAAAACTTTTCAACTCTTAACCCACATTCAATCTTTAACTCAACCAAACATTGATGAAATGTTTCTTCAGTTGGAGCATATGCACATTTCCCAAACAAAGTGATCATCTTTTCTTTTAATCCATGAAATATACCACACAAATGATGCCTCAAGTTCATCTTTAAATGATATAAACAATAAGCACGGAAAGCTGTTGGGAAAACCTTTGGCAAAACTTCAACTAATCCAAGGTTACAGTCTAACACGAATGTAATATTTCGTTCTGCTAAAACAATTGTACTCAAATGCTCCAAAAACCAATGCCAGTTGTCTTGATTCTCTGAGCCAACAATTCCAAAACAAACAAGAAAGAAACCTGCATGTACAAAACAGAAAAAATAAGAATATTCTATTATTCTTAGAAAATGGTAACACTTTAACATTCAAAATATCAAACACTAAAATGAATAATTGTACAAATAAAAAATGCATATACAACAACAATATTATATAAAATTTTAAAAATTCAATCACATTTCTAAATTGGAAACTTTCTCAATTCCAGAACGGAGAAAATAGATTTCTTGTGTACCTTGATTTCCATCTTTTCTTGTAGCGGCAAGTAAATTTCCTCTAAGTCTTCCCTTAAAAAATGTGCCATCAAGGAACAAGAGATGTCGACAATAATTAAATCCACTAATGGAATCATGAAAAATAACAAATAATATCTTAAACCGTTTAGTATCATCACACTCAAACTCAATGTAACCCCTTGGATTGCAACTCTTTGCAACATCAACATACCATCTTAACTGGTTAAATGACATTAAGTAGTCTCCAAAAATATCACCCTTTGTTTTCTCTACCCCCAACCAAGCTTGATGATAACTAACTCTCAACCCATACCCCCACTTAAAATCCTGAACAACATGAACTGGACGTGTCAATGCATTATCACGAACACCTTTAACAATCAAATCAGCAACTAAATCAGAACTCATACGAGAATGATTCATTGTACATACTTCAGCACCACTTGTGTGGACATTGTTGAGCTTCCTTATATAAAAGAACCCATTAGCATTCTTCACTCTACCATGAATATTCCACATACAACATTTTGTCTCTCTAAACAAACATTGTGCGGTAACACGAACTGTGTCATTCTTAACAAATATGAACTCAAATCCACACTCAATAGAAAACTTCGACAATGCATTACGAAATTCAACAATTACACCTTCAAATTTCTGTCCTATATGTGTAATACTAACTGCCCAACTAGCAGACAACAGTACTTTTTCCTTGTGTCAACAAAATGATGATAACATATCAACCTTTTCTTCAACCTCCAACCTTGAATTCTTATTGGATGATGTAGATGCTCTGTTTGACAAGTTCACAGATTTATTGTTGTCATGAGACAATGCAATATCACAAACTTCAAGCTCCAACATTGACTCTTTTTCTCCATAATCCAATCTTTTGTTGAGATTACCATAATCAATGGTTGAGTTTTTTCCTCTCACAACAACATCAGTACACTTTGAATCAAAATGCACTACTAATGCCAACAACAATTCTAACTCCTCATTGTTGTCCAACGTACAACTAGGATGTCCAAGCAATGAGTAAGATAGGCAAATGTTATCAAATTGCAAACTATCCCATTTCAAACATAGCTTATCAAGCAACTGATCATATGTAACATTCCGATCAATCTTAATTGCAAATGTGCAATCATTATAATTACACAACAAAAAAATCGGGATACTCGTAGAACCTTTACTCATCTTTCAATCTAAAAAAAAAAAATTAAAAATAATAAAAAAAGATCTCATCAATAAAAGCTAGTACAATACTCAATTTATTGAAACTACAAAACCAGAACAAATACTTCAAACAATACTAACAACTTTCTCAGTTTTCACAATTCACGTTTTCAATTCATAAAATATCAAACCAAACTGAGAAATCATCCAGCAAATCACGTCTTCAATTCGTAAAAATTCAAATTATTCAACATATTCTCATAAATAAATTCAATCAAAACTAAAGAAAATTCCAAAAACACATAACAAGTCTTCAATTTATAAAATCGATACAATACATACCTATAAACCATACATACCTATAAAATCAAAACAATACATACCTATACAAAATCGAAACAATACATACCTATAAACCAGCAGATTAATTCTTCAATTTATAACTTCAAATCGCACATAACAAACTCCAACAGATTTCAACTCAAAAGGCCTCAATTACGAATTTGTCAAAACTGAGAAATTGCTTTACCTATAATAGCGAACCAAGCCAGGAAATCCCTCAAGATCCTTTGTGATTCAAATCTTCATCTACTTCCATAACTGACTTGTTTTCTCTTCCTAGTAAATAACGTCAATGCTATTATATATATATATATATATATATATATATACTTAATTAGATTAAAGGGCAAAAACACTTTTTTACCTGTAAATGCAACTTATTGGTTCAAAAACTTTTTGCTAGGACCAAAGCTACTACCAATATGTAGATAGGACTTTTAGGTAATTATTCCAAAAAACAATTATGTTGATCAAATAATTGTAACTTTTTTTTATTTTAATTGGGTTTGTCTTAAAAAAAAAATCTATTTTAAAACAGTAATGCTATAAATAGTAATTAGTATACCCATTAACACACCAATTAGATATAATAATAGGTACGAGCACGTTGAGTGGTGGAACCCACATATATGTTTTGTGTCTTAGTTAGAGACAAATGTGATTAAAAAAATAAAAATAAATAAAAAAGTAGTAGAGTTATCCGATCAACCTAATTTTTCTATTAATGATATATTGGTACCTATAAAATGAACTATTTAAATTATGAAAATAGTACCTGTGATGTATCCCACTAATCCCTCAAACTCATATTGTAACTTGGAACAAATCCAAACCTTATTTTTTACTATTGATATTTTACAAAAAGACAACCATTTGTTTGGTAAAAAAAATGCTATTCACCCACCTTAGGAATCCATAATTTATCTCAAATGGGTTGTGTGGTAGAGATTAAATTGATAAAATATGAGATCCATAAGTGAAATGAATGTGAATCATTGATTTTTTTTAGGTAAATTTTGAATTGATAAGGGTAGATTTGTAGTATCATTGATCTTGTAATGTAGAAAGCAACAAGAAATTGTACATTCTATAAAACTAAAGCTATCCAAATTTTATAAACACCTTGCAAAACCCAAAAAATTACAATGACACAATAAAGTTGGAGTTGTAATATTCTCAAAGTAGAAAGGTTAAGAAAGTCATTTCTCTCAAAAGTAACAATTAAATCTTATATCAGGCTGAAAGTGGCTAAAGGAATAAGTGATTTTACAAACAAATCCAATGAATTATCAAATTGCCTAAAGCAATAGTAGGAAATTTCAAAATAGGAATAAATAGATAATCCAATGAATGTTCAAATTACCTCAAGCAACAGTAGAAATTTTCAAAACAAACTGAGGGTTAAAATAGGAAAAAAAAGACAAGCCACCAACACCAAAGCTATTCTTATATATATATATATTCTTATGTATACACCAAAGCTAGTGTATACCCGTGCCTAAAGGCACGATGAAAATAATGTTAGATTAATCTTCTTTTATCCAATCTTTTATGAAGTACATGAAAAAAAATTTCACAAAATAATTTCAGAGAAAAATTATTCTTTTCTTATACCATCACTGTTATACTTACCTAAGCTATCAATCTTTCTTGTTCTAATTGAGGAGAGTTGGTCTCATTTGAACTTCGGCTAAAATCTAAAAAGAATATAATTTCAGTGATTGCAATATTAACAAACCATCTCTCATGTCAACTATTGATAGGTAATGTTTAAAAAGAAAAGGCATGGAAAGGAAAATCATGCATTGCTACTCACTCCCATTCTGCAAAATTAAAGTGTATCAAAGCCCAAAATGTAGCAAGAAAAATGTATCAATTAGTTAAATAAAATGTATGAATAGCAAACTCATGAACATATTACACTCAAGTCTCAGTAGTATTAGTTAGTTACAACACTCATTTCACTTTACTAAGCTTAAGTCTCAGACTCTTCATATTACACTTCTCTCTTGCTAATTACTAAGGAAAAGAAAAATAGAAAGTAAAAATCAACAAAAAAAAAAAAAAGAAAAAAAAGAAGAAACTAAACCTTAATCAACAAAACCACCTCTCTTTGGGCAATCACCTAATCCTCCAATCAAGCATATATGTCTATGGATTACACCAATCTGAAAACATCAAGCACTATCTATAATAGTTGCAAAAGCAAAAATCATCAAGCACTAATTGAAAGTTCCAAACACATTATTAGATTTTAGCTCTTAAACACATTATCAAGCAGTAATATTTATAAATGCCTCCCTCCATCATCAAGCACTAATGATTCAGCAAATATATTTAATTTCTAAAATTGAGAATGTCAATCTTTTAGAGACATGGAATTCAGCACATAGGTAGATAACTGTTCAAGATGCAATTTGTCTCACACCATTTTATTCATTTATCTGCACTTTTTGCCTCCCTCTATCTCTACTCTCCCTCATCCCACACCTACACACCCTCTCTGTTTTTTAATCTATATAGCAAATATTTTATGCACCCAAACACATGTGGGGTTCACACAAAAAACTACTATATATCAAAAAAAATGTTTCAGAGACACATCCATATAGATGGAAAAAGAGAGAGATTTACTAACCAAGAAAAATGCTCTTTCTTTGATAACCTTCATGGATATCTTTGGCACCACAATGCAAGTAGCATCATTTCAAAAATCTTCAAACCACAATCTCAAAAGAAAGATTTCATGAACTCACAACTGAGATCCAATTGAGAGCATTCAACCTATTTAGAAGTAGTACAAACAAAAAATAAAAAAATTGCTAATTTTTTTGGTCTTTCCCAAAAACAATAAATAATAATAAAAATAATTAGCAAAGAGAACATTATCCAAAAAATAAATAAATTCATAAACTCAACCCAGTCAAGGAAACAAAAACTTTTTCCTCAACCCAGTTCAAAAGTTTAGCAAAAGGGAACTTTTTCCTCAACCAAAAGTTTGATCATTCGATTAATCTCTCCCTCACCTTTCATTCCCTGTGAATTAATAAACACATCAAATAGAGAAACAATTTATCAAGCATTTGGTGAACATTGTAGTAGCAGAAATTATATAGTGATAAAACTAATTATTTTGAACTTCAATTATTGCAAACTATATTGAAATCCTTAGAATGGAATGAATAACAATAAATTTAATTAAAATAACTGGAAATAGGTTGTAATTAATTCGAAGTGACATGAGGAAGTTGGTCTTTGAACTATGGAAATCGAGTAAAAGATTAAATCATCAACTTACAACATCATGAATGTACAAAAAATAAAAAATAGAAGCAAAAAAATAGATGGAATCTTGATTACCTCTATTGATGGAGCCTTTAGAACTATTCTCCTCACCAGATTCTGATGCCTCCGTCACATGTACAAAGCATTAAGAATAAAAACATCAACCTTACATGAATTGATAATTTCTCTACAACACTCCAACTTAACAAAAAATTGTGCATTGATGTTAGGAGAAAAGATCTTTTATACTAAAACTAATTCCCTGATAAAATAAAAAAAATAAAAAAATAAGAAGACAGAAAACTACAACAATAAAAGGTGGGTGTGCCCAACATAGATGAAGGAGCTAAAGGGTTTGCAGAATTCGAAAGGAAGATTCATCGTAATTTTATATATATTTCATCAACAACAACAACAACAGCAAAAATAAATAAATCTATAAATAAAACTAACAAAGCTCCACTGACTTATGGATATAATGTTAAGGGGATAAAGAGATATGAAAAACTAACAAAAGAGGGAGGGAGAAAGTGAAAAGATGACATATAGTAATCTTAAAGACCTTAAAAGGGTTGTGTGAACCCTTTTCCAACAATAAAAAACTAAAAAGGAAAGTAAAACATCGAGTTTAGCGAATCGAATTGATTCACTTCACGATTTACCGATTTGGTTCACCGATTCACCTACGATTCATGGCTATTTGCGATTCATACAACCTGTTCGTATTGATTACTTACTGAATCAAATCGCAAATTGTATGATTCTAATAACAGAGATTTCAACACATGTCATATTCATATAAATGAAGTCAAAACTATAAAGAAACACAAACAATTATGCCCAACTTCTCTGTACTCCTCTTTCATTTATCCATAAAGAAATTGAAGAAAAAAAAATTCAATCAACACTACATAAACAAACCTGCTAAATGGTAGCTAAAATGACACATGACAAATAATAGGGAACTAATAATTAGACCAAGCAACCATATGACAAAACAAATGTTCTGCAATAAGAAATGAGTATATATGTTTTTATCATAAATCATTTTCAATAACTTAGAAATGAAATAAATTCATAAACTAAAAACAGATGGAACAATTTTATTCCCAATGGAAGCCAAGCATCCTATTAAAGAATTGTGATACCTTTAATGGGTCAACATGGTGCATTGAAATGCTATGGACAGCAGCTGCAAAAAACAAAAACAAAAAAAAAAAAAAATATTCAAATAGCTCCAACTATTCAAATCCTCCCATAAGCAAAATATGAATCAACCCTTTTGGATCCATTTGGTTTGCTCATGGGAAGCAGCCAACACACTGTCACAACAAAAAAACAAAATTTGGATTCAAAAAAAAAAAAAAGGAAAAATTCAGCCACAACATTGATAT